TATATCCCATTCAAAACTGAGACTCACACTTGGGGATGTTCCCTCGTAAGTTGAATGTTTTTTCATTAATCATTAATATTAATGATGAAGTGAAGTCACTTAATTAATGTAATTAATTAAGTGCTATTAAATAAAATGCTACATACCTGATCGCTGTAGGCTTGAAATACGGAACAGAATAGAGTTGCATTAATCGTAACCAAAGTTCCTCTCCATTACTATCACGTGCGTGATAAGATCATAAGATTACCCATCTCATGTCTATCACGGCTGCAGAGTGGTCTAGGAGTTGACTCCAGCTTTCTCACTGTATATTCAGCATTCATGAAGAATCGTTTTTCATTAAATATGCAGATCAAGGCTTACAAAATGAGATAATGCTGGAAGAAAAAAAATATTCGGACTGCAACTGACAGAACAAGAATGATAGTGGGATGAGACTAGCGAAAGAAGTTTAGTTTTGTGTTAAAGGTTAAAGCTACAGTACTTACTTTAATTTTAAAACTAAAATTAAAAGTAAGATGCAAATTAAAGTATCTTTTCTTTAAATTTTATAATTTCTAGTCGCATCGGAGCTCTATACAAGTTATTTATACAGGTAATAAACGAAAATTAAAGAGAATCAATTTGACAAGTGGTGTTCTGTTTGTAAAATTTTTAAAGGTTGCTTTGTCGACCCATTCTATCTTCTCCCCATTTTGAAAGTCTATTCATGATTGATTATGAAAAATGAAAACTTAATAAACTTGACGATTTAACCATCAAGCCAAATACTTAGACAAGAACGAGAAGGTAAGAAACAAAATTAGCGAATCACAACTTATGAGATTAGATTTGTATGGAAGGAAAAAATACCGATTTGAACCGACACACTAGGCAGACCAAGAGCCATTTTAATGCCTTAAAATCTGTGCTTTTCACACAAAAAGTAACGATTTTCATTAAAAAGAAAAGAGAATTTACCCTCGTTATCATCTTCCAACTTACATTTTTTCCGAAAAAAGCTATTTTGATAGCGTAAAACACCTACATTTAAATGTGTAAAAACATTTTTAAGTCGACTTTTTTCACTGAGAACACACGAACAAACACATAATGAGAATACAGGGGGGAGAGGAACAACTAATAGGTCAGAATATATAGGACGATACTTGGGCACAAACAACAAAATATGCGCACTGATATCAACTGGATAAGAAAAAACACACAGAATGAAAATAGAAAGGCACGAATAAAAATAAATCCATGAGAGCTTATGGAAAGCGATCTGGCTGAAAAGAAAAATATATGTGCGCTAATATCAATAGAATGTGTAAGAAGAACACAAAATCATAATACAGAAACAACAGGAGAAACTAGTAGGTCACAGTATATAGAACGATACTTGTATGTAAACAACAAAATATGGGCACTGATATCAACTGGATAAGAAAAAACACACAGAATGAGAATAGAAAGGCACGAATAAAAATAAAACCATCAGAACTTACAGAAAGCGATCTGGCTGGAAAGAAAAATATATGTGCGCTGATATCAGTAGAATGTGTAAAAAGAACACAAAATCATAATACAGAAACAACATGAAAAACTAATAGGTCACAGTATATAGGACGATACTTGTATGCAAACAACAAAATATGCGCACTGATATCAACTGGATAAGAAAAAACATACAGTATGAAAATACCCAGGAAAAACTTTTTCATAAAAGTTTGCGTTTGAACGCCAACGTTTAGTAAAAGGAAACGCTATTTTTGCGTTTGAACGCATCTTGTTCTGTCTTCAACGCGTTGAAACGCATTCTTCTTAACTCACAATGTGTTGAAATGGTTCTTTTTTCTATTGAAGACGTGTTATATAAACTAAAACGCGAACTCAAAACACCGTTCGAATGTACTACTTTTCACACGTTCGTATGCCTTAATTTGCCCGGCTTTTCAATGCGTTTTTTCTTCTTGAAAACTAGCTTATTCTTGCAGATGCTCTAGAACCCATATTTTTAATGCATGTTGCTACTTTCAAATTAAAAACCGAGAATTTTTGCACGAATGGGGTAGAACATGCTTTTTTCGATTTTTCTTTTGCAAAACATGAGATTCTTCCAAGGGGGAAACGGCGGACTTTTGGGCTTGAAGTTACTTTGAGCTACTTTAAGCGACTTCAAGTTACTTTCAGGTACTTGAAGTAGCTTACTTTGAAGTACTTTTCAACTTCAAATTTACCTGAAGTTACTTGAAGTTACTTTAAGCTACTTGTTCCTACTTTGGACTACTTGGGTGGTACTTTGAGCTACTTCAAGTAGTCTACTTTCACGTACTTTGACGTACTTTTCTACTTCAAGTCCGCCGTTTCCCCCTTGGATTCTTCACAAAAAAACTTTTGTGAATGTTTGTATTCATAGTTTCAGTAAAAACATTAGTAATATTTAGAACCTATTAGGTTCCGTGAATTTGTTTTCAGAAAATCTTCCAACGTCTAAAAAGATTAATTAAAAAAACATTAATTAAAAGAAATTAATTTAAAAAACTAAAAATTCAGTGTAAAAGAATTTAAATTTATTATAAAACTAAATTCTCGTAATTTAATATAATTTTGAATTTAATTTGACCTGAATTTAAAGTTAAAAGTTCAAAATTAATCCTTCAATTGAATATATATAGGTATAGAGGTGTATTATTATCATGCGTAAATTTAGCTCAATGGCAATAGGTAAGTCAAGCCAAAAGTTCAATATTCGAATCTATTCGTCACCGGAATGAAAAAAATGTTCAAACGCGTTCAAGGAAAAACAAAGCTCGTTTTCGTTCAGGAGAAACGCGTCTCCATAGAATGCACTCTGCGTTTGCTTTTTGTGTTTTCCATTAAAAAAATGCGTTGAGACGCATTCGAAAAAGTACGTTTAATTTCTAGCGAAAACATGCGAACTGATAAAAATATGCGTTTGAACGCAGTTTTTAAGAGTTTTTTTGTCGTGGGTAGAAAGGCACGAGTGAAAATAAATCCATCATAACTTACGGAAAGCGATCTGGCTCGAAAGAAACAAATATGCGCGCTGATATCAATAGAATGTGTAAAAAGGACACAAAACCATAATGGACCAGCAATAGGAAAAACTAATATGTCAGAATATATAGGACGAGACTAGTATGCAAATCAGTGTTGGAGTTAAAATTCATTTTTCAAAAGTTAAAAGTTGAGAAAACTGACGAAAAGTTAAAATGATTATAACAGTGAATATAACTTTTAACCGTGGTTGTGATCATCGACTGTTTACAGTTATTAATAAAGAATAATTTGTAATCAAAGTATGTGAAGTGAAAAAAGCATACTAAATTCTTTAGCAAAGAGTTTGAAAAAAGCAAGAGTTGTCGATTAACCGATTTTCTCCGCATAGGCATATGAAAAAATGCCGAGTAATAGTCTTCTGTGATTTCTTTTTTCCAGTTTTTATATTAAATAAACCACAATTGAAACTATTATTCAAGAGCTCACTAATAAAATGTGTAATCAATAATCGAAAAATCGAATACATTTAGTCTTATTTTTTGTCAATCTTTCTCATAGAAATAAGCAAGACTAATTCAAAATTTATAAATTTCGATAAATTACGTTTCAATATTCCGAAAAAAACAGCATTATTATTATTCTTGTATTGTTTTTATTATTCAGTTTTGCTTCTAAGTGTATAGTTTTTTTTCTCTATCTGATATATATGCACAAAGCTTTTATTTCACAGCTAGTATAACCTTACTTATGGACGAAAGAACATGATATACTGGACATATATGCCGTTGTTACTTTCATCCTTCTGCCTATTTCGTCGTTTTCATTTAGTCGAAACGTAAGTAGACAAAGGACACGAGGAAGAATGAATAGAGAGAGGTAAATAATACGATCATTCTTTTTTTTGTTCTCAGACGGACGATCCTCGATTGGACACAAATATATATAAAAGTCGATAAAATTTACGCAGTTTATATCATTTGCTGCTCACTTTATCATTTAGATAATCTGTTGTGTTTAACTGCTGGTATTATTATCGCTGGCTTTCAATTAATACAATGTCTGATCGTATAACTACTTCATTATCATTCAATGATCCACAACCGTCATCAAGTGAAGATACCATTTATTTCTCTTTATCAATTACCTTTGATTCACCAAAACATGGTGGTCGTCATCGAGATTTTATTTGGTCGTATTTTGACGATATGGGTCCAGCTAAAATACCTGGTCATCGTAAAGCTTAATGTAAATATTGTTAGCTGTGTTTCAATTTTGCACAGCTGCATTTGATGTATTCTCATATTGCACATCAATGCGACGAGATTGTTAATAATAATCCAAATGCACGCAAGGAGATATTATTGAAAATGCGAGATCTTGAAGAAGAACCATCACCTTCGAGAAAAATAGAGGACTGCAGAGGTACCCTAGAGAATATACTGAGTTAAGGGTACCCAAAAAAGTACCCTGATACCAGTATGTCACAGGAACTTTTGGGTACCAAAGTACTTGCAGGTACTTACAGGTACCTAAGTGGTACTTTGGCAAGTACCCTGCTGGAAAATGCACAGTAATTGGGTACCTAAAGGTACTGATCAAGTACTGAATTGGGTACCATTGTATAGTATTTCTAAGTACCCTGTTACCAAATTTTCAGTATGTTCAGGATCGAACCTGATCTTTGACTTTTTAAATTTTTTTCTTTTTCGTGAGATAATTTAATAGACTTTTTTTTACTTTATTCAATTTAATTTTTTTTAATTCCAAAAACTTAGCAGAAACAATTTCGGGATCCGACTCAACTTGAGTTGGTCGTAGACCACTTCAGGATAGTCCGATCTTAATTTACGACCAAGCTCGGCATTTCCTCGACTAAGAAATAGTCAAGAAATAATTTAGAAAAAACTAGTATGAAAATTGATTATTTTCTTATGATTTATCGAGTTGTTCATATAGGGCCGTACGTAAAAAAGAAAACGGTGAATGAATAGTCGCCACACAGAACGCGAAAAATTTAGGATACCCTGCCGAGATTTTCTCAGTAAAATTACAGACTTGTGTATCCATGCAGGTACTTATTCAGTGAATGTACTTTTACGGGTACCCCAAACAGTACATACATCAGTAAAATTACTGAGAATTTTCAAAGTACCCATATTGGGTACCCTGCTAGAGCTTTCTCAGTACATGGGTACCCTGAACTCAGTACTTTCTCTAGGGTATAATATTTTCATTATCACTTTTATTTTACAGATTTTTCTAGGTGGTGTCAACGAACTCGTCAGTTCACAAACAATATACAATGGATAGATTTACATCGAGAATGATTTCTTATAATGAACAGCAAAATATCGATCGTCATTCATTGAGAGCAATTATTATGAATGGTACGTCATTTCGAACAGTTAATAATCATTTTTTTATTGAGTTTATAAAAAAACTTAATCCATCATATGTTTTACCTGGCCGAAAAAAATTAGCACGTGAAGTGCTTACGGAAGAAATGGTTTATGTCGAGAACAAAAACGAATCATTACTTGTTGAAGCTGCTCATCTTACATTAAATATTGATGGATGGAGTGATCGATGTCGTCGATCTTTACATGAATACAATGTTATTACAGATAGTCGTAGGACCATCGTCCTTTCACTTGTAGATATCAGCAGTCATCATCATACTGCGGACTTTTTGGTCAAAAAACTAGAAGCTATTTTAGCTCAAATGTCCACAACCATCAACATCACTTCAAAAATCTGTGCCATTGTTACTGATAATCCAAATAAAAAGCAAAAAATGCGTGAAATATTTATATCTAAACCGGGAAATCAACATATTATTGGGTCAAGGTGGTTTGCACATGCAATTAATTTAATTGCTGGTACGTCCCTGCTTTGTTATTGTGATATAAATCGTGAATATGATATTAACTAACAAAAATACTATTTAAATCTTTTCGTTATTGAAACTCTCGAAGTAAAAGGAGGGAAGTTTCCCAGCAAGTTCTATTGTTGCATCTGTCGTATCGATTTTTTTAACAACTATTTTATCTTTTAATCGTTAACGTTCTTCTTATTAGGTGATGTGTCAAAACATGTTTATGCATTAAATATTTTAAACAAGATAACAGTGGTTACAACATTTGCAAATCGATCACATATGTTTAAAGCTAAACTTAAAGAAGAAGCTCAACGTATAAAAATTAAAAAAGAAGCTCTACATACAATTGCCACAACCAAGTGGTCAAATGTTTCTGATTGTCTTCATTCATTTATTCTTCTTCGTGCACCACTTGAAGTACTCGTGGCTGTTCATAAATCAATAGCATCTACAAAGATGATCAGATTTATTAACAATCGTTCATTTTTTTATGATATAGAAAATTTGTAAAAAATCATGAAGCCATTGGCTTATGCCATGTCAATTATGCAATCTGCTTCTATTACATTAGCCGATTGCTATTTAATCTTATATTATCTCCAATTTGTCACTGATTAATTCGCAGATAATACAGAAACTCGAGTGTTTGGTCGACATGTTTAAAAAGTGGTGAACATTAGATTAAAAGAATTTCAAAATAATCTTTATTTAAGTGCTTATTATCTTCATCCAAAATATCGTGGTAGTGGAATGCTTACCAGTGGTCGATCAGCTGTTTATTGTTTTCTAGCTGAATATAGCAAGAAAATTGGAAATAATTTAACAACGACAAAAAACGTAACCAGTGCTTTGCAACGATTTGAAATTAAGAGTGGGCTATATGCCTTGAATTTTACACAGGGTAAATAATAAATTCTAGTTTTTACTTTACTTTGTTTATTGCTAGATGATACGCCTCTGTCTTGGTGGACAATCATCAATGAAAATACTCATAAAAATTCTTTATCCAATATTGCATTAGAACTATTCTCAATTACACCTCATTCCGTTATGCTTGAAAGATTATTTTCTATTCTCGATTGGCAGCACACCCAGCGTCGTAATCGTCTTAGTCAATTTATACTTGAAGTTATTGCTAAAATCCACACGTTTTATAAAAATGGATCTACTAACCAGAGATGTGCACCGCGCGCGCGGAGGCGGAGGCGGAGCGAAGGGCGGTCCGCACCGCTCGCGCGGACCGCCCCGCCCTAATGTCAAACATGGCGCGGTTTTTGGGCGGCCGCACCGCCGAAAAAAATTTTTAGGGACGTCCGCTCCGCCTCCGCCGCTTCAGATAATATGTCCGCTTGGAGGCCGCTCCGCGTCCGCCTCTCTAGGTAATATGTCCGCCGGCGGCCGCCCCGCACCCGCCTCTCTGAGTAAAATATCCGCCGGGCGGCCGCGCCTTAACATATTAGGTATTAGAGTTTCTTTTTTAGTTTCAACCTCGAAAGAACAAGTCAGTTTAGCGTTTTTAAGTGGGATCTATCTTTTTTTCGAGTTTAGTTATAAATAATAAAACCAGGCACGTCAGCTTAATAATCATTTTATAATGAAATAACATACTATTTTTAATTACTAATACTAATAGTGTCTAAGTAAATTAACATCTATGCTAGGTAGTCACGCATACTAGATATATTGTTCGCTTCAGTTTTTTGTTTCTCTAACAAAGCGCATCATTCTATTTAGGTAATATTTTACCCGTCTCTTTTGCCTTCCTTATATCTTTCCTTCACCTTGTGTCTGTAACTTTTGCACGGCTGTAGTTGATAATAAATAACGCCAATCTTTAACAAAAAACAAGCATCAAACATTGAAAAGTAACGGAAGCAGATTAAATCGTTAATAGTCATTTTGCTTGAGATACCTTTAACTTTTACCACCTCACTTTCATATTTATTGATTAAATCTAAAGATTGAATACTAAGCAATGTTCATTAAAAATTATTCTGATATTAAATCGACCTATATCTGAATTTGATGAGTTTCATTCGGAAGAATATATTGGGTTGGCGGAATGAAAATTAGACACTAGAAGAAGATATTCAAGAATATCTTAGCAACTTTTTCAGCTAAAAGCCAAAGGAGTTTTATGCTGAAGGCATTCATGCTTTGCCTACGCGTTGGCAAGCAGTAGTAGATAATGATGGCGATTATATAATTGACTAATATTATTTATTTATTAAATAAATAAATTTAAAAAAAATATTCAAGTGTCCAATTTTCATTCCGCCAACCCAATAGTTTTTAAAGTTATTCTGAACTTGAATTTGTGCAACTCAAGTGTAAAATAAATTTACATGAAAAATAATGCTATATCAATACATACATGTCTAGTTAAATCTTGTTAAACAGTACATCCTTTCATGGCCCCTTCAATTTTATGTTGTCGTTCATATTGGAATGTTAATAAGTCCTCCTTTATGTGTTGAGCAATACTATAGTGCAATAAGTTTGGAAAAAATAGGTATAATGGATTTCTCCAGTTCTTATCAGGTGGACCGCCAGGCGGGCGCCCGGCGACGGCGCCGCACCGCGCTTTGTTGAAAAAGAAAGCACAGGCGGCCGCGCCGCTCCGCGCCTCGTTGCAAAAAAGTGCATGGGCGGCCACGTCGCTCCGCACCTCGTTGAAAAAGAAAGCACAGGCGGCCGCGCCGCCTCCGCCAAAAAGCTCTCTGGCGGTGATCGCCTCTACCACGATTTTGGGACTTCCGCCTCCTTTCCGCGCCGCCTCCGCCTCGCTTTTTAGGCGCGGTGCACATCTCTGCTACTAACTCAGATGATGCAACTGATGTTGATTGTTTAGAAGATCTATTAAATTTAAGTGATGACTTAACTATAGATTCTAGTATTGCTGAAGGAAAAACTATTCCATGCAATAATGCAACTGCTTTTATTCAATGTATCAATGGAAATCATGATGTTTTGTGTGAAAAATGTGAAGAAGAATGCATTAATGAAGAACAATCAGACGACAATGAAGCTATCCCTGAATTTACTTGCAAGTTAAATATACACGATCGAGATTTTCAACAAATATTGGTTGATATTGGATTTATTGATGATATTCGTGAACCATTAGCTGAAGAAGATGGTACAGCCGAACATGATTTGGCTGAAAAAGCATGGAACGAACATTATGATGTTGATGAACTATAAACAGCCTCAATGGTTCTGTGACACTCTTTAAATGTTTTTTTTTAATTTTTTCTGTTCATGTATGAATGTAATGTAATGTTGATTGTGCTAATAACATGTATATTTTTAAATAAACCATCAGTTTAACATAAGTATTTATCATATGCAAAAATTTTATTTTATTTCAGGAGAAAATAGAATTTCTTTTTAAAGTAGCGCTGGGTGTGGGTACAAATTATATCCACAGTAACACCCACACCTACACCCACACCTACACCCCCATACCCACACCCCACACCCACACCCACTCAGACCCACACGCTAGTGTACTCACTTATTGAGTACACAAAAAAAACACATTGACGATACAATATATCTGTTAGAGAATTTGAATGAAGATAACAAAAAACTGATTTATTAATGAGGAAAAGAAATTAGAATATTTTGAGTTAACTAAGAAGTAATTTCATAGAAATATTCAATGTTTATTTAGATGGAAGTTTTTTAATTCGTGTACTCCTTCCTTAACAGTTGAAAATTTCCGCTTGATCATTATTGGAAGAGGATCTTTCCAACAATATAAAGAGGTCAATTACTTTCTTTGGCGAAACCTGACATCAAATGATAACTTTTAACGAGAAAATTTCAAACGAACTTGAACATTTTCACTTCGTAAATTTTCAACAACTACACAAACGGAACTCACCTTAAAATTTGCAAATATTTGTTTTTTTTTTGTTCTAAATGTTGCTTTTACTTCTTTCTGAGCATCCTCACTTTGAATAGTTCCAACTAGAACAGTCGTCTTCGGCAGCAAAAGCATGCACCAAAATTTCTGAGTTAAATGTTAGGAAGCTTTTCTTTCCAAAAAGACTGTAGAATAAGACAAAATTTTTGAAGAATCGGTCAAAACATTTCGCTTCGCGAAAACTAACATTTGCATTAACATAATCAAGGAAACGACCTTTTCATTTTGTTTTTCTTCGAAATTTTTGACTTGAGCGTAGAATGCCTTTTTCCGAACAGGTTGCAAAACAACACATCGATTTTCTAGGAGTTTACAAAAAAACTCTCGATTGAAGACAAATGAACTAGGTTTTAGTGCAAATTATTTACTTCTCCCATAGCCCACCTTTTTGCATAAAACTTTGATTGAAAACAACAAGACTTTGATAAATT